GTAGCCACTGAAAGCTGAAGAACTTTGGTTTCCTTGATATTTTGTCGCTCTAGCCCTTCCACTCCTGGGATATTATAGCCCACAGTGTCGGAAAGTGAAAGTTTATTTTTTTATTTTTCTTACCTTTGAAAAAATATTAAAAAAACGAAAGAAATGGTTTTCTTTAAGTACAGAGATTCTTGGCTGTGCTCAGGGTTTGAGATGTGGATCTTGAAAGTAAATTTTCATCTTGGTGCCACTCAATTACATTATCTTAACTTTAAATGTGAGTCTTCCCTGTCACATTCTTATAAAAACCAGACTGCTCTTGTTCTGTGTCTCTGGTCTGTATCTGCTGACGACATTTCCCTCTTCTGTCTCTCCCTCTCTCCACGGAGCAGCCATTTGTGCTGACGGCAGCTACTACAAGTTCCTGTTCAACCAGAAAGGGGAGTGTTCCAGAGACGTCTACGCCCAGTTCCTGGAGATGACGGATGAGAAAATCTGATCTTTGACTCATCTGCAGACCTGCTATTACACAGCCTGTTCTCTCTGGTTTCTTTTTTTTCCGTTGCGTTTAAATTGTGGAGGAGACAGGAAATGTCCCCCGTGGCACTTCTCCTTCTCTTGACAGACTCTGTGACAGAGCACGAGATGAAGGGAGGACAAAGAAGGAAAAGCACAGACTTTGGAGGAACTGTAAACAGTGAATGTGGACAGATGGAAGCACTGACAGGGATGCAGACGTTTGTCTCACAGACTCGCGAGGATTGTCTCTGGACAGAGGGACACACACGCCGACTTTATCCCCACCCCAAACACAACAGAAAAGAGGGAAAGTTATTTTTTTGAAAGAACGACAGCTTTTTAAGACGTCTTCCGAGGAATATACAAAGGATGGCTATTTTTAATCACATAGATGATTCTGATAGTTAGACAGATTGAAAATATTGAGATTTTTGTCAACTAACACCACCTAACTATAGGGAGTGCCTCTGAGACTGGAGAGAATCTGTATGTGTGAACATATTAATGTCATATATACACGTGTGTGTTTGTGTATATACACCAATGTACCATATTAGGTGTTTGCGAAGCAGGATCAGAACGAGGTGAACGGTTTCCTCCACCTCTGCCTTTAGGTTCAGGAACATTGGAGCAGGCTGATTCTGCGTTGTGACACGCCACGCTAGTATTATTAGATTTTCTTATATTCACTGTATCAACACAAACGCGCCAGACTGAACTTCTAAATACTTAGAATTGTACAAAGTAGTAGCAAAAAGAAAAAATATGAACATGTATTTTTGTTTCCGTCTTCCTTTTGTTTTCATACATTGTGCAATATGTTTTCTGAAATGCTTGTGAAAGTCGAGTGTTGTTTCCACCCACAAAAAAGAAAAAGTTAAAGAAACAGTTGACTTTAGTTGGGAAATGTGGCTTCTTCACTTTCTTGCCGGTTTTTGTCGAATGTGGTTAGTGAGCTTTAGAGATGCTGCGTAAACGTTCAAGACTTTATTCTCAGCTAAGCCAGTCTGAATATAAAGATAAACAACACAGCTCCACTTCCTGTTGATGTTCGAAAATTAGGCAAGAACAGCCCCTAATGTGTGTGCCGCCATCTTGCAGTTCTGACGTAATTTGGAGCCGGAGTCTGCACTACAGTGATCGTGAAGTGTAGCAGTATTATAGAGGTCCCACCGCTATTCGCTCTCAACCAATCACAAGCCAGTGTCAGCTGTCAATCATGTCATTTAACCCCATTCTTATTGCATCAAATAACGAATTCAATCCAACTTCACCAGAAAATGAATACTTACCTCAATGTGATGAGAAGCCCAACGATGACACAACCCAAATCATTTGAATTGTACTTTTTAGTTTGATCAATCTGCAAAGATAGAGGAGGCAAGGTTTATGACTTATACTGCAGCCAGCCACCAGGGGGCGATCCAGTTGATTTGGCTTCGCTTTAAAGTAGCCTTCACGTCCATCTTTATACACAGTCTTTGAGTCAAACTGACTCCTGCTAGCTTAAGCTTCACATTTCCAGACGTGAGGGAATCAGGCTTCTCATCTAACTTCTGGCACGAAAGTGACTCAGGTTATTTATTCCAAACCACCGAACTGCTTCTTTAAGAGTTTGTGAAAGTTGAGTTTGTTCTTCTACCTGAACTGGAAAGCTTAAGAGCCAAACACGCGCACGGTTTCCATCTTTAATCACTAAACATTTCCTATAAAACTGCACTTCTTGTTTAATGTTAATACATAAATAAGCCCAGATAATTAAATTAAGAACCTCTGATTGGTGGTTAATAGATCTCTTCATGTAATTGTCATTGACCGGTGTGGCTCTCCAGCAGAGTTTGATCATATGTGTCTGTGAACTTCTCCTCCCTGCCCCTGACGCCATCCACACGTTGTACTCATCTAAATCAGGGAATCTGAAGTGCTCGGGTGGAACCCAGGAGACGAGTCCCGTGTGGATCCACCGCAGCGTGAACACAAGACTGTGTTAATGTGTGATTAACGTTGTTTTCATTTTTTATGTTGTATCTGTGCAAGAGCACGTCAGCTTTGTGTTGCTTTCTCCATCAGATTGTACATGTGCAGGCCTCACTTCTGTTGAACACACTCGCACACAGCACTAACCACAGCTGCACAAACTGAAAAGCCAACCTGTTTCTGACACACTCAGAATGATTGTAAAACCTGCGTTTAAACTTGTGAATAAAATTTAACATCTGCTTTTACAGTTAAAAATTCATGGGATCTTTTATCAGAAAACCAAGTGTACAAGTACAAATTCAGGATGCACCTCTCCTCTCCATCTACAGTATGTTAGACACTTTCTTTTCTCATGAATGTAATTATTGTTTCATGTGACATCGCGGGATCCCTCACTGGTGAATGTCTGAGGTTTCTATGGTTCTGTTCCCCCGGCTTAAAGTTTTCTTGGTAGTTTGTCCACTCCGAGTGGTCATCAAGACTAGAAAAACCTTTTGATTGATAAAGTTGAGACCTCAGTAATACACAACCTGGAGAACACTGTGAAGATGCTTTGCATTTTGTCTACCTCACCATCTAATTAACGATATGATAGAAGTCACCATCGTCCACCATCATCTCCAGAGCAGTAGACAACTGTTTCCCAGTACAGGCTGTGCATGACACAGGAGTGAACGCCTTTCACAAAAAAGTCAAATGCCCCCTGGTGGAATTGTGGTGAACACACCACAAGCTTTCTTGATGTACAGTAAATTAAAGACATACAAAACTGCAGTTTTCTGCTATATGACTAGAATTCAATGATCTGCAGTGTTCAGTTCTTGTCAGAAAAGAGTTTTACACACTCCACGAACCACAAGTGAGCCTAGTGATCTATTGGGACGATCCAGTGCTATGACCTCTCTAATGTATGACTGGGCTTGATTATTGAGGGCCCTTGTGTGTGAGGAGCAGGATTTTGAATCCTCCTCTTGATTTAACAGGGAGACAATGCAGAGAGGTTAACATCAGTTGATCTTCTCAGACTTTCAGTGCGTGGAATGAAGCACATGATCATTTTAGTGTTATCTCTATATGATCGCATCTTGTTAAAATTCAGATTGATTATTAACATTTTTCTCGTTAACGTGGTCATATGACACTTGATACTACTTTTTTTTTTAACCCTTTACCCCCCGACATGTTCCAGTCCTACAGTGGAAACGAGCGAGTCTAGCTGGTTTTGTTTCTAAAGAAAAGTGGCTCCGATTCTAAGGAAGCTTTTCCGCCCTGTGGTCCACACACTTCCTGGAACAGCCTGAGCAAACAGTGTGGAATGCACACTGAAAAAAACCCTCCTTTAATACAACTTAACAGCCTCTCTACCAGATGTTCACTCTTAATCAGCCACATGATTCAAGAAGCTTTCATGTCGTCATTTCTTCTGTCCGACAAACAAGAAATAATTGTTGACACGCAGACAGAGTTGGACTTTGCCCAGTAGAGAAGGCCCTTTTACTCAAAGAAATACAAACCAAGATGTTATGTGTTTTAAATAAATTTATAAAAAAAAAAAAAAAGCATTTACCCACTGAAGCAGAACAAACACCTATCACTTGTTTTTCCTCATGTAACATAGAATACAATCTGAATAGACTTTTTTTAAGTAGCCTGAACAGAATAAAAATAATCAAGCAAAGAGACGTCCAACTTCAACACAAAGGTAACAACCAATGATGACAAGGGGGGAAATACTGAGAGCAAATGAAAATACGAAAAAGAAAAAGAAAAAAAGAACTAAGAGGGTTAAGTGCAGCACTGGTCAGAATCATATAGTGTAGATTCAGTCTAAAGTTTCTTCAGTTCCATATTCAGTTAAATCTGCTCAAGTACATTGTCTCTAGATCCGTAACATGCAAGCTCGATGAAGGATATGGTCAAATACGCATGGGAATATACTTTTTTTTTTTATCTTGTAGGATATTTGTAAAATATGAAAAAATCTGTAGATGTACAGTGATAAAGAAATTTCGTTTTTGCATGAATGAGCAGAGAAAAAAGAACATCCACTCCATAGATAGTGTTTTCTTGAAAGGAAAAAAAGACTACATTCATTTCACTGAACAAAGAGTCCACATACAAAAACAAAATTAGGATTCCCAAAATATTATGTTTCGATGTTTAAATGTTCTTAAAGACCCCATTTATAGCTTTTTAGTTATCTTAATTATTACTAAATAGTATCTGTGCCTTGGGAAACGGAGAAACACTCAAAGATCCACAGATACACTTGTACAACGGAATACTGCATATCTACTCACGACTGGGTTAGGTAGGTCGACATGGAGGCTAGCTGCCAGAGATGGGAATGTCCACACGAACGTACACACACGTACACACACTTCCCTTTGCAGAATACACTACTGGTGATTTCACTTGGTTTGACTTTTCTAATCCGACACACAGCTAAGCACTTGCCTTTAATGCTACCAGGACCGGGCTCCTCTCTGTCTTTGGGGAGGGTCAAAGACTCCTCGCTTGTCCAATAAGTCTTTTTTTTTTTTTTTTTTTGTTCTCATCTAGAGATCTGGATTTTTCAAATCTGTGTTTCTTTCTGCCATCTGGGTCGCAAACTTCAGGGCTTCACAGTCATCAGCAGCTCTTCTCGACGTCCACTTTCAATTTGGTCTGTAGTCTTTGCATCGTATTTGGTGGTCTTAAATATATGGAAGAGGAGGAGTGGAGGGGGGTCAACGGGGAGAGAGGTTTTGCACATTCTGTTAGTCCCGTTTGCGTTTCCACGTCTCTTCTCTTTTTGGCACCTTGAAGTAGATGATAACCAGGTAGGATGGAGGGGGGGGGTGAGGGTATGGAAGGTGTGAGGCTCAATGCGTACAGGAGAGCGGGGGTCAGGGTGCAGATCGGGGGAGAGGCTACTTGTGGCCGACCTGTTCACAGACCCCTGCTTCTCCGGCTCTGTCCGTGGTGCCATTGTTGTTGGCGGTTGCTTTGTCACCCTTCTCTCCCTCCTCCGTTTTCACTCGCTTTGATCCAGCTTGGTCCTGCAGTTCTCCGTTCTGCCTCTTGGTGGGGAGGGACGCGGAGGCCGAGGCGTGGGTCGCCAGCAAGTGGAGAGGGTTCGCAACAGCTGGAAGAAAGAAAACCGGATTATTTAAAGACAGTATAAGGTGAAGGAGTATGAATTAGAATGTGGCCAGTAGCACTCGCTATATGTAGAGTGCTTCATGGCGTTTCCAGCTCACAAAAATAGCCTTAAAACTATTACATAACAAATGGTTAACTGAAATACACGTAATGAAGAGACACTGTTAAAAAGCACAGGTGCAAACATGTATACATCGCTGTTACTGTTTTTTCTGTTTGTCTAGATAGATACTTTATTGATCCCAAAGGAAATTCAAGCATCCAGTGGCAATAACATACATTGAACTTGACTTATGCATTAGAGTTAACTTATAACACAGTAACCATACGTCGAAATTGGCCTGAGATGAATGTAAATTTAAATGTGTACAGAGGAATTAAGGAAATTGAATCAAATTAATTGTTTAATTTTATTTAAAAACCATTTTTTTTGAAGCAAAATTAAACTTTTACAGAGAAATTAAACATTTGCATAGGAATTCAATGTATACAGAGGAATTAAAAATGTGCAGGAATATTAAATATTTGCAGATAATGTGCATAGAAAATAAATATAGAACTGTGTTAAGTTAACCCGTGCTAATCGTCTATAAAAAAACTAGAAGGCAACTATAGAAATAAAAATGTTTTATACAACTATAATAAAAATATAAAGTGACTGTAGAAGATTGGGAGAAATGGGGATAAAGGACTGTGTGCAATTAAATTAAATTATGCTGTAAACAGATGAATGAAATGAATGAATGAATGAATGTCTATGTCCCTCATCTTTGCTTTATTTCATTTCCCGACTAAATATTTGTCAAGTGTTTGTTCATGGCACAAGAACCCAATAAATTATTATTCATAAAAAAATGTATCAATATATGCTGGACTTGAGCATTCACCCAGAGTTTCCCAAATTTTGTTTTGCACTTTTCATTATAACAGAGGAGATCTCTAACTTAGTGTGCAGCACTGTTTGCTAGCTGCTTGTGCAATGGTCCATAACGTTTTACCGTCCACAGCCTGAGCTGCAGTCTCACCTCTTAAAATGGAAGTGCCACTAAAGGAAATTGTAAAGGAACACTTAGTTTGATTAGTGTTTCTCTACTCTCAGTATTTCTGATGCCTTCTTTGTCATATACAACAGTAAATGGGATAAATAAGGACACATCTAAGACACGTGGCTGCTGGGGGCATCAGAACGGTTTTTTATACTCCACTGGTTTGATAGCAGACACCAACGCAACTGTTTGCACTCTATTCGAGTGCATTCATTACATGCAAATGCACGCTTGGTTTCTGCAGGTTTCAACAAGTTAAATGGATATCTGCATCATTAAGAAAGAGCTACAACCACCTGAGGCCTCATAAACTATGCATGCCACCAACACGTTTCTTCAGACCTACCTAAAAGAATTTAAGACATAGTTTGTAATATTTAAACATATTTAAGACTTTTAAAGACCCAAAATTCTGAAGAATTTGAGAAACCCTGTGCCAGACATCATATTCCTGAGTAGTGTGTTGTGTCTGTGTGTGTGTGTCTCTCACCTGTGCTAGCAGCAGAACTGATGGGGACCAGATGAGTCCCGTTTTGTGTGATGGCCTTTATTGGGAGCTGGTGCTGCCCGAGCGGGGCTTGTTGAACAATGGTAACTGTTGTCAAGGGAGCAGCCTGAGAGCTCTGGATGATACGACTGACTCCCCCTATAGATGAGCCTGTGATGGAAGGCACCGGCTCCACTTTCACTACAGGGGGAGAGAAACTCGCATCAAACTCTGTGTATGTGAACAGTCACAAGAAAGATGCTCAAACAGACACGAATGACACGACAGCAACGTGAATCCGCTCTCACCTTTAATCTCTTGGTGCGCTCCCCCTCCGTTCTCCTGAGGTTCTGAGCTCATTTTAGCAGCAGACTGTCCGCCAAGGGTTGCCATGGTGACTGTGGGAATCTGGTGGACGACGTGCACTGTCTGCATCACGGGTGTGGAGCTCACCGGCGTCGTTACGATGGCTGGCGATGCCATGGTGTAGGTCACAGGCTTCATGGTCGTTTGAGGCATCTGGCGCTGCACGGCGATCAATACTGGCTGGTTGTTCATCGGGGGGCCTATCAGAGGGCAGGAGCCAACGTCATTCACAGGACATAAATAAATAAAAGGGGTTCCTTCATCTGTGCAAGTGTCATGCTGTGTTTTACCAGAGGAGTTCTGTGCAAAGCGCGCCTCTTGGATGACAGCAAGTTTGGGCTGGACTGTGGCGGTTTGGGTGGGGGCTGGCGGAGGGGTCGTCTCTGGCTCCATGGGGACTGGGGACCCCTCTCTGGACAGGCTGTCTGGGGTCTGGACCCCGCTGGAGTGGGCAGACAGTGCGCCTGTGTGGCTCGGAGAGGCTGGAGCGCTCCTAGAGGACAAACAAATGGGGTGGTCACGGCTGCACAGAACACACAGGAACTACAATGTCTTTCCAGTAACAGTCATAAGTGTTCTTACCTGGAGGAAAGAGGTCCCACAGGGGTCCTGAAGCAAGGCACTCCCCTAGGCCTGCGCTTCCTGAAGGCTTGTTCTATGAGCTTGCCCTCAGAGGAGGGGTCGATCCTCCAGAACGAGCCTTTCCCGGGCTCCTCCTGAGAGCGGGCCACTTTGATGAAGTACCGGTTCAAGGAAAGGTTGTGACGAATCGAGTTCTAAACCACCAAACAACAGACAAGACACAGACAAGACACACTTGTAGTGATCCATGATATAGAATATTCTCATGTTGCTGCACAGGGTCTAATCTGGTGTACAGAGCAGTCAGACTTCAGCGGACTCTTACTACAAATCCCAGAATGTTCAGATAAAGCTTTTTGCAGAGACATTGGCTTTGTTTTCCACCCTTTTCTACATCACTAACACTAGCTTTACAAGGTAATAATCACATATTTTACATAAACATGCAATTATATTATATTTGCACGGTTGGATCACAACTGGACAGATATAGATTTAGGGGTTAGATACAAATACTAATATTAAGACATAAAAGATTCAAAAGATTTCCTCATGAAACCCTTTATGACACAGAAATGTGAGGCTTCATATTTGTGTTTAGTTAACCCATAAACTTTATTATTAATCATTTCAAGTAGTCAGTAAACACAAATATATTTTTTGCATAAAATTTGAACATAAACATTAACGCAGACATATTAATGTCTGAGAAAGACTCATACTGACCAATTGTTTTGCCCTGGCTCTAATGTGGTGTAGTTTTGGTTTTCTGGGGTGTTGAAATGTATTTTTATGAATCTGTGAGCTGCTCCTTTCCTTTTCTGTGCATTGCATTGTGGGAGAGGAGTTTACATCAACAGCACACACACAATCATGGGACCAATATGAGTGCATCTTTCCAGTCAAATAACCATTTCCTGGATTTAGCTTTAGATTTAGCACGCAGCCTTGAGCACCTTAGCCTTCGCTCAAGATGAGCAGCTGATGAGCCACACTTCAGGTGCTGATGAACTGATGAGGCTGATGCAGGTCTACTCTTTGACTGAAGACAATGCATCTCTGACTGATGAAAGAAAATGTCTGAACCCTCAAATTCATCCATTCAACATAGTTACAGTTCTAAACTACAGAGAAATCCTCACACATAATCTGCTATCAAAATTACTTATTGCCGTTCTAATAGCCGCACTACATGCCTCAGCATTTGGCATTTCCAATGTTAGACCATACGATCTGACTACAGCTGAACTGCACATGAATTACAATTCAACAGACATGCATAGAGGAACCAAAGAGAGAAGACACCAACCTGCCAGCCTTTATCAGCTGTTCTGTAGTACGGATAGTTCTTGGTGATGTGGGTGTATATTCCATTTAGTGTTAGCTGTTTATCTGGGGCCATGGTGATAGCTTGGACTATTAGTTGTGCATATGAGTATGGAGGTTTGGAGTCGTCCTGTGGAAGAGGAAGGAAAGTTACCGTTATGTGCTACTGGGAGGACATTTTGGTCAATTAAAGGCACACAAACACAGAAGGACAAGACAGTCTGCTGGCTCCGTCATGCAACATGATCTCCTTCAACACATTCAGACCCACTGATGATATTCATCCATATTTAACTCGGTTCTCATTCTGCCGCAACTCGCTCTCACCTTTGGGCTGTCTTCACCTGAGGCCTCCTTGTCGTTTTCTGATTGGGAGTTGTCTCCTATAAGGTCAGCGGCCAGAACGCGGCCTGTCCTGTAGCTCGAAAGCCCCGCCCCCCGTGGACTTGATGGACAGGAGTTTGCTGCACTGTTAAATTGACAAAACATCTGTAAGGATTTCACTGTAAATTGAAAATTGAAGCATGGGTGGAAATTGTATATTTCCCGGTATATTCAACATTTGCTGTCAGATCTTCCAGTGGATTCCAGTCTGAGGCTACATCCATACTATGATTTTCTTAATTTGAAAACCTGAGAGCTTTATCTACCTGGGCAGGTTTTAATCCACCTATGGATGGGACACGCCGTGCGGTGGATCTACTTTCTGGCAGACTAAGGATGGTTCAGTGCACTGCTGCCTCCCACTGGTATACTTACATCATTGCCCTTTCAGAGCTGTGAGGGCTCAACCAGTCAAGATGTATACCATAAAGTTAATTCATACTCTCTGTACTTTCTTTAAGATTTATACCAACTGACAACACTGCCACCGAGCACTAAACCGACAGAGACCCCCCACTCACCTGATGGTACCAGTAGGTGAAGGCAGTGGGCTCATGAGGTGGGCGATGTTGTCAGGAATGTTTATGGTCAGCGGGGAAATTTGAGGTTGGACGGGCTTGACCGGTGATTCCGGCACGTTCCTTGGCTCCTTCTTATCACTGGACAGGGCTGTAAACGTGATCTTTATGGTTGTGCTTGGGAAACGGAAACAACACCTGAGGATGCAAGACAAGCACAGACACAAGAAAACATTAATTTAAACACTAAGCCATATATTGTAGTAAGGAATACATTAGTGGAAAGTATTAAAGAACGTTAAATCATTTCCCTTTTTTCAAAATAAGACAAAGATTGATCGATGTTGATATTGTTATTTTAAATTCTGCATGTCAATACTTATTGCTTGAGCTCCAATTTAAATGTTTGAACAATTGTCAATATTAACTGATATTGTGTATATCTGTCAACTAATAAGTGGGAAATTCTATGCTTCTATGCTTGTAACAGTATCATTGTGCAGATAAGCCTCCTGCCTGGTAACAAGCAGGCCAAGATCTAACTAAAGCCGAGATTCAGCCTCACACTGTTTAAAAATGGACGTCCACCGTGACTATTACATAACAGAACATGTCTAACATGTCTAATTTAATATTAATGGGGTATATTTGGACTGGCTTCTGACACCCTGATGAATTACTACGATGAAGTAGTGATAATATAATCCTGCATAAACATTTACGACGTTTGAATATAAAATGAGGTGTTACCTCAAATAAAACTGTTCAATGCGAGTTTGGGGAAAGAGGAAGAAAAGAGACGTGGAGTAAACACATGTAACATGAGTTAGAGATGACACTGAGCCAGACTTCACTGACAACAGCACTAACCTTAGCTTCCTGCCTGTCCTTGTAATGTGAACACACTGTTGTGTCCTTCATGTAAGCACAATCCATCACCCGTCTCTTGAGTAAGTAAAGCACAGTGCAGTCTGCGGTGCAGCAGGTCAGAAAGAGCACCTGTGCAGGCATGGACTCACCTGTTCGCCCCTGTGTGCTAGCATTCACCGAAAAATGAAAATGCGCTCATTATCTACTAACCACTATGCCGGTGGAGGGGCGGGAGAAGGGTTTGAGTCAAACACACAAAACACTTTTGGAGTCTCAGGGGTAAACAACCAAAACCAATATAATGTAAGTAGCTTGGGACCACTAAAAATCCGCCATACTGCTCCTGTGGTGTCAAACCAGTGTCCGTTAGCCCTGACATTCAAACGCACACACCTTAAAGGTTAAGTGTGCAGAACTAAGTGACATCTAGTGGTGAAGTTACATGTTGCAGCTGAATACTTCTCATTACTTAAAGGTCCAGTGTGTAAGATTTAAGTGAAAGGGAACTATTTGCAGAAATTTAATGTAGAATAATCCTCATGATGTTTTCACTAGTTCATTTCATCTAAATTGTATGAATTGTAGTTTTCTTTAACGCAGAAAAGGCCCTTTATATTTAAATACTTTATATTTACATTGAGGGGACCCTCTCTATGGAGGCCGCCATGTTTTCTACATTAGTCCAGACTGGACAAACTAAACACCTCTTGAGGTTCTTTTTCATGTTTGGAAGGAGAGGGTGAGGTGAGGGGTGTTCAGCTGCAACATGCAACTTCAACACTAGATCTCACTAAATTCTACACACTGGACCTTTAACTATAAAGGGCCCATTCAAGGGTAATGAAAACAACAATTTGTACAATTTAGATGAAACACTATAGTGAAAACATCACTAGGATTATTCTATATTAAATGTCTGCCCATAGATGAGAATCTTACACACCGGACCTTTAACTTCTATTAGAATTCAGTCATATTTAACGTGACCTACTTGGCTGTGCGAACATACAAAACCCTGGTGAAAACACATTCAGCTGGTTAAAAGCATGAGGGCCCGCTCTTCAATTCGGCACACATCGCGCACCACAATAATAACAGACAAGCTATCAAAAAGCTGGCTTCCACACGAGCACAACGGTGAATAGCAGGTGAGCCAACTCCTAGCTTATAGCACGACTGACCGGCGTGTCAGTGACGTGTGTTTCGGAGGCTGCGTGCATGGAGAAGAAACTGTAACACGTTTCCGATGAACATCGGGGTCCAGAATGACGTTGAGTGTGTTTGTGAATCAGCAGAGCGACGTGAGCGGATCGGCGGAGGCTCCGCGTGACGTTATCGCCATGAGAGCGAGGCTCCGCGTTGCTTCGCGCAGCACGTGCGACTGCGCTGCGGGCTAACAAAACAATAACAACACAGGAGCACACGCACGACGCGCGGCTCGCGTTGCAATTCAAGAGAGCCGATCGTGGGACTCTTACATTCGTGGAAGCTGCAGAGGTGGCGCCCCTCTCCTCTGGAACACCCCGTCAACGAACACCCCGTTTTTCCCCAGGCAGCGGAGGTAGAACTCCCCGGTGCCGGTGCCGTCCTCTCCCGCCGTGAATATCTCGAGGTGCCGCCGCGAGATGAAGCTGGAGTGTCCCATGCTGACGTCCACGGAGCCCTGCGACGAGTTCCGGCCGATGGTCACCGACCTTTTCTTCATCAGGTACTCGAATTCTCGGCCCTCGAGCCGGGCTACAGCCGACCCCGACATCCCGCTTACCACCGCCATCTTCTGAGGTATCTGCTGGAGATCCGGCGATGTGCGCTGAGAGCGAAGCTGTGAGCGGGTTACAGGTGAGCCACCGAGGGGAGGTGGATTTGGTTTTGTGGGGGGGGGGGATCCGAATTTACACCGTGGAGAATTTGGCTAGGAACGTGCCAGACCGGGGACACAGCGGCTCCGACCCACCGCCGTGTAGCAGAGGGGGCAAAAAAGAAAGAGAGGCGGGCCGGCCAATCAGAGGAGGCCAAACTGACGGAAGTGCCGCGACGGACAACCCCCCTCGACCAATGGGAGAGCGGCCCGGGCAGGCAGATGTGCGGTGTTTGCCAATGACAACAATAATAAAAATAGCCGTAGAAAATGGAGTTCGGTTGCACCGCAGGCTGACACGCAGATGAGTGGGGGGAGGTAAGAAGCGGAGCAGTGATTTCAAGGAGGGGAATGAAATGTCCACAGTCAGAGGAACACGTGCTCTGGTTGTCCTCCATAACTTATAATGATTCACGAATATAAACGATCATAACGTTTGGTCTTAGTTTGATTATTCATGTTTTATTTTGTGATGCATTAAATGTCCTTGGCTGTCTAGAAAGACACAGTAATAATACAGTTTATTATAATCATCATCATCATCATCATTATAATAATAATCATCATCATCATTATAATAATAATTATTATTATTTGCAGCCCCTGAGCAATATTATTACTAATAATAACATTAACATCTAAAGAGACTATTCCTCTGCTTATATTAATTCTCCAAACTTCAATGTTGTCTTGCTGAGCTCTTAGAAACATAGAATGGAATAAAACAAAATCAAATTGAGTTAAATCGCAGGCAGTTTAGAAGACTTTAAAAACAGTCATTAAACCTTGTAATGAACACTGGCACATTCTCACTTTCAAAGGTTTGGATTGCAAATTTAGAAGCAAGGACCTAAATACCTTCTTTGTTTGTTTGTGTTTGGAACGGGGTCAGCTAAACAGTAAAGTATGAATATTGATTGGAGCAGCTTTAAAGAAAGTGTGTTCTAGTAGAAAAGCAACCAAAGTTGACCTGATTCTGGATTTAATTATATGCACATTTAGTGGTTTTCTCTTTTGTTTCTGTTTGTGATGTAAGTATAATTATCTGTAATTGGATTTTTGATAAGTTCGTGTTGTTTCATGCTTTGTTAGTGTTGTAGGGTTTTTTTATGCCAGTTTTCTGTTTCAACAAAGAAAAGGCAGTTGTTGCTAGGTTACACTTTGCGGACTCCTCAAATCTACATCTAGAGCTGCTCTAGGCAAGGACATAATAAAGCTTTTCTTTTTCAATCATGAATGGTCCATTTTATGCCCTTTATTAAACGGCAGTAGACTAATGGCAGAGGATGGAGAATGATATTTAATACAGCTCCCAGAGTCATACATGAAGTAGTAATGTTCGGCGGCTTAACCCTTCAGCCACCAGGACTCTGCTGAGATGACCCTCATATCATTCGACAGCCACTCTACACTTAGCATTCACACACGAGGAAACCACCGGCTACTGAGTATGAAAATGATGTGACTCCTGTCATATCCTTCACAGTCATCAATCAATCACTCAATCTCACAAGACAAATTCACGGCTTGTTCTCGACCTTGGCAACAGTGGACGAACTAAAGATGAACAATCATGTTTCCCCAGAGCTTTCAAAGAATTATAAATCATTATGTCATCACATGACCGAAGTGGTAATGACAGCTGAGGTATCAGAGTAGCAAAGTTAATCTACTGATGAAAACCATGATATGTGGAAGAAAAGAATCAAATTGAGCTTGATTGAGTAGAATTAGCAAAATAATTATACAAATAATACTAATTATTCCATTTAAGTAGCACTTTTCAAAATAGCTGTTACAAAGTGCTTCACAAAGAGCAAACATAAAAACAAGCAAATAAAATATCATTGAAAAGAAATCAAAGACAACAGATGATATAATACAAACCCTCTAATCAAAGACAGGAGATAAAACTATACAACATCCTTTAAAAGTAATGGCAAAATAAAAGAAACATAAGGCTCACTACAGGTACACAATTTACAATGATCAAAATACAGCCTATGAATGTATTGTTTGACAATATTTCAATGAAGCATTAGAAAAAGTCATGAATAAATAAGTAGATATTCAACATAAAAATAACATTCAAAAGTAAAATCATCTTTTCTACCCTAAGCAATACATATAATGCAAAGGATGACTTATAATCTATATGTAGGAGTTTGAGATGAGCTGGTCATCAACATAGTCATCGCCGCACACAGACAGTGTATGAAAAAAAAGCATGAATCCAGGTCCGTGAGCAGCAGATCCACCAGCCGGGGTTTCCAAACAGCGGGTTAGTTTACTGTAGTCCAGCAGCCACCACGTTGTGTGTGTGTGTGTGTGTGTGTGTGTGTGTGTGTGTGTGTGTGTGTGTGTGTGTGTGTGTGTGTGTGTGTT